GCCTGCTGACTGAGACTTTGAGACGAAGTAGGATGCAGTCTGGTTGAACTTAGTCCATGTAGCAGACGTCAATTCTTGTTGCCGCCCCCTCGGTATCGGTACCAAGTTAGGTCAGGAAAAATGGCTGATATCAGTGATTGGAATTCCTGGAACCAATCAGATGCACCTAACTGCTGTACCCCTGAGGCACAATTCCGAGCAGTTTGAAATGAACGGCGCGATATTGCCTCACTATTTCACCACATATAAGAGGTATTACGAATCCCTCAAATGAATCGCTTTGCAAAAAAACAACCAGACCCTGTCGTCCATTTAATATGAGTCATATTGTGGTCGTGATGAAGGACAAGTTTCCGGGCAAATCTAGCCCAGGGCGAACTGTTCTGGAGTTTCAGGTGATATTCGGGAGATAGTTCACACTGATCTTTCACTTTCCCAGGCTCTGACGAAGGCGATCCCGCCGAAACGTTGGCGGAAAAATCATCCTGGTTACGGCTGTAGCAGCACCCTAGATAAGACCTAACAGGATGCCAAGGTTCATAAAGAGTCGAACGTGGACGCTCACGAATGGTTAGACTTACAATCTGCCCATCTATCACAAGAGCCGCATCAGATCTGGTGGCTCCGTAATCATGTCAGGAACCCCACGAGGAGATTTCCGAAATATTTCTTACTTAATACTCGTGTGGCAATTGGACATTTTCGCTCAGGCAATAGATCGTCAGAGAGTTTGATTTCACGTTGTTGGAGTATTCTCAAGGGGTTTCAGACCCGATGTTATATGCTAGAGCTAACGAGCTGCTTGATGGGGCAGATCGCGAATCTAAATCTTGAAACATATATAGACCTTTGGAAACGACGACTCAGTCAAGGCACTAGGCCATTCCTATAAATATTCCACCCAACATCCTCGTAAAGTACAAAACTAGTAAAATATTCTCTTCAACTAACACACTAAAGCTAAAAGGAGAGGGAAGCTGGAGAATCATCGAATTGCTTTTATCGAAGATTACTAAGGGCACGGAAGACTGCTACATTTGTCGCTTCATTCAAAATTAATATTGTTACCTTCACCACCGCGATCGATTCTTTCGAATGAATCTCTTCCGCCGTAGTTGCCTCGACGGTTGCCTCCGTCTCGATATCTAAATAAAAAGTTCGAGTGATTTGCAATTAATTGGATGAAACCGCAAATAGAAATGGACAAAGGGGACAATAGTGAGTCTGAGCAGAAACCCGACCACTTTCTGCCCTAACGCCAATAAAAGTAAAAAATATTCATCCAAAAGCTCTGTCGCTCGTTTTGCCTCATTCTCTCTTAACGTACCATGGACTCATCCTCTCGTTTTTGACTAGTATTACCTCACCCTCGAATCAACGAAAAATAAAAAGCTGTTTGAAAACGTTGACCGCGGACTGAAAGCTGCGGATCGGCTAGCGCATCGCTTTCTACGTCAAAAATAGTTCCCGCGCTCAAGCAACTCGTAGGTGTCCTTCCTGGCGCTGTTTGTCGACGGGGGGGGGGCATTTTGTATTATCATTGCTTCCCTAGTTCCGGTTTACAAATCTCTGGTAAAACTTGTGAACTCTTGTGAAGCTGAAGTAAGATCGTCTAGCCACTATCCTAAAACGTGTCAACTCGAGAAACGGCTGCCTAGATGGGTCGACACATCTATGGAAAGCAAAATGCCCCTCCCCCCCCCCCCCCCCCCCCCCCCCCCCCCCC